ATGCAGTAGTAGAAATAATTATGGAAAAGGTTGGGAAAAAGGATACAAAATGCAAGTACTACAAGAATGCTAACTCTTTATCATATGAAAATGAACTTCACCAAAGTACAGTCACGTGTAAATAGCTTACAATACAATTGGTTGTCATCCAACCAATCGGAAAGTGCCATATCACTATAAAACTTCAGGCAGTCATACTATTCCCAGTAATAGTAATGGTGTGAATCCAGCCATGACTCCCACGGCTGAAATGTCACATGACAAGCGTGTATAGGTCAAATTTTTGGCTGGTCAAAAATACTTCATGTAAAAAACAATTACGGCAAGGCTCCATCTTTCAGAAGGAACTGCATGCAATTATGTTATAACTTCCATGATAAGATTTTATAAAAATCAACAATAACAATTAATAATAAATAGTCTTAATTATGACGATTCTGAAAAAGGTACGTGAAACTGGCATTTTTAATAAATAAAGTATCTCTGGGTATTTTTTTTTACCAGATAGACAACACTCCAATACATATATTACCAATGATTTCACTGTAAATACAGGTGTAAACAGTAAAATACACATTAGTGCGATATAGTCTCAATGGATTTGTAGCTGCTCAAAAACTGCTGTTGCGAAGTGGTATAATCAAACCAAAAGGTTGAACTAGGGATGGAACCACAAAGAGTAGATTGGAAAAATTGTGTTATTTACAGATAAATCCAAGTTTGATTTGTTCAACAATGATCAATGACTGGATGTTCGATGGTGAAGAAAAGAACGGTATTATAGTCAGCAAAACATGGTGTAGAACAACTGTAAGTTTGGAACAGCATCTCGCTTACAAAGTTGGTGAACTACACAAAATCTATGGCACCCTTTTGATGACTGGTACAGGAAGATCCATCATGTCATTCCCTCAGAAACACTATGCATTGGATAGTGATTCATCTTCCAAGAAGACGATGATCTCAAGTGTACCGCAAATGTGGTGAAACGATATCTTGACGGTAAAGAGACCGATGGAACACTCACAACCATAGCTTGGCTTGCACATAGTCTCGATATGAAAATTCTTGAGGCTGTATGGATTTATATTAAAATAAAAGACCAAAAGGCAACCAAACAACTTGGCTGATTTTTGGGGAATAAAACAAGATATTCTTACAAATGGCTGTCAGTGTGTGTCCGCTTAAAATAGGCGAACCGCTGGACCGATTGTTATCAAACATGGCATGTGCCCTTAGGGCTCAGGGGGGGGGGGTGACATAGAGGGGTTACCATTCGGGTTTGATCCCCCCGCTATGTCACTCCCTGGGGTCCCTATGTCTTCCCCGTACTCTGCGGAGGAATGCCAGCTAGTTACGAATATTTGAGATTAAAAATGAATAAAGGAAAAGTCGTATGTAAGATACTTACTTAACAAATTATAAGAGTGTCATGTAAAATATGTAAAAGGTAATTAGTGAGTATTAAAAAAGGATTAACTAGCTTGATAAGATCAAATAAAGATAAAGAATAACTTATATAAAGATTTAATATTGACTTTTATGTCCGACTTAAAACCCTACCTTGCAATTGCAGAATCGTATATTACGTTGTTTATATAAATTAATATATTATCTCTCGTGCCTAAAATATACTGTTAAACTTTTATAATTAAAACTTTATTATTATTACTATCTACATACGTAACTTAAACAACTTCAAGTTCGTTGTTCTGAAACTATGACACAAGAATATTTTTTCTTTATGTTGACTCAGAAACAAGACCTTGTTCTGCATCTTATATTTCGATTCTGCTGTAATAAGAATGAGTCAGAAACTATAATAGAAGAACTGAAGTATTTAAATACTAAGTGTGCGGAAACTTTAATATTCCTTTGTGTGTATATATATCTATTATATGATCAAAAAACAAATATGGTTCTGCCTCGTTAGTTATTACAACCATTTCTGTTTGAAATTAATAACACATTTATATAAATAGTACAGCATCCGCTTATTTAAGACTAACGAATGGCTCAGGTCTGTCACTCGTCTTTTAAAGAAAGAGACATTGAGCTGATAAACATCAATATGTTTATTGAAGCTTTTATGTAGAAAATGTTCCTTTTAAAAACTAGTTCTCATCACTGTATAATTTCTGTTATTTTTACATTTAGTTTCAGTAATGAGGAATTCAATGCAGTATCATTTTTGTTGTTATTTTGATTAAGCATTCATGTGACAATATAGTTTTTTTGTTCTTTTTTGGTCCTGAAGTTTGAGTGAAATGTACAGTGAGGTAAAGTTACCTTAATTTGAGATATATTTTATAGTATCGGTGCTTTATAAAAACTTTTAACTTGATTAAATATATGTTTGCTTATGCTTGATTAAAAAACAAAGTAATATTCCGTTATGTGTTCTAATCATAGTTTTATTACCAGGAGCCAGACAAGTTCCATAGATTTGTGACGTTTGGAAATGTTCCAGAAATCCTAGAATAGAAAACACAGACCCTGGAATCGTATAGTCAAGCCGATGGCGTCAACTTGCAACTTAAAATGATTGGTTGTTATGTAAAACAGGAAGCAACCATTTCAAGTAAAAGGGTTTGAACAGTAAAAACGGCAGCTGAGAATGTTGTGTAATCAGAAGGTTTGAATAATGAAAGTTGTTCTTAACTCTTCGAATGTCGGAATGAACACAACTAGCAAATAACCATTCAGCACTACATAATATACTCAATACGTACCTTAAGTTTCGGATATAGTAATTAGTTGTGTTACAAATAAAAACTAGCAAGCCAGAGAAAACAAAACAGAAAACGATGACGCAGTAGCAGAACCAATTACTGAAAACTATTTTAAATCTTCGAGAAATTATAGTGATAGTTTTCGTTTACAGAAATGAACACTCTGTGTCACGGTATTCTATATCAAGCCGTGGTTTATATGGATTTATTTCTATACACTCTGTGTATGTAAGCCGATGCAATAAAAAACAAAGCATAAAAATTGAAATCCTTATCGTGTAGAGAGCTGCATAAAGCAGCAAATTGTTTTTATATTGATAGTTAGATAGAGACATAAATATATATATAGATAGATACATACATACATACATATGTTGCTGTTTGTCTGTTTGTAGTTAAGCACTGAGCTACACAATGGGCTATCTGTGCTGTGACCACCAATGGTATCGAAACCCGGTTTGTAGTGTTATAAGCCTTCAGACTTACTGCTTTGCCACTGGGGGACATATATGTTGCTGTCTTTACCTTTTTGAAGTTTAATATTACACCTCTTCTAGGACACTTCGGATTAATCAGATTGTTTCATAGACGTAAAAAAACAACAACTACGAAACTAACACAACTGTTATCTAATCAGTCGTTTCTAATCTTAAAGAAACTATCGTAAAACACTCGTTTCTAATCTTTAAAAATATTATCGTAAAACACTCGTTTCTAATTTTTAAAAATACAATCGTAAAACACTCGTACAGCTATGAGGACACCGAGGTCGTATCCTTGGTTGGATTTCTGGCTTCCTTCACTAACTCATATACACACAATTGTATAATTGGAAGTTATAGGTTGAGATCCGAGTTTGACCTCGGTAGAATATTGGCTCGCCCTTCAGTATCACAGCGGTATGTCTGCGGAGTTACAACACCAAAAACAGAGTTTCGATACCCGTGGTGGGCAGAGCACAGAAAGACCTTTATGCAGCTTTATGCTTAACTACAAACAAGCACAGTATTGCCTCTGATTACGGTGTTGATTTGGAAAAAGTTAAAAGTCTGTTTAATGCCCAACATTTGCTATACTGTTGTTTAGCGGCACGTGAAATTAATACTTTTCAGAATTTTTTAAACATGACTGTGTTGTTTGTATTAAAGTTATTTGTTAGGTGATTTTTGTAATTAGTGTTTGGAACGTTTATTCGATAGGCTTAGTTTATGTTGTCATTATATTAAGTAGAAATAATGCAAACATTAAGACTTTCTTTTTGAAATATTAGAAATGAAAATGTCATAAAGAATGTTTTTTGAAGAGGAATCTTATGGCAACTTCAAGTGGCTATGTAAATCAGGTTATAGATAGAGGATTAAGGTAGCAGTAAATGTATTTGTTTGGTGTTAATTCACAATGCGTTATTTGTGCTCTGCCCTCTGCGGGTATCTAAACCCGTTTTTTTAGCGTTAAAAGCGTTAACATTTTTTTCCCGAAGTTTCTCAGATAATTCATCGGACACATGGAGTGCAACAAACAATAGCTCTCCATCCACTCTACCACCAAACAGCAGGCAGCTGTTTTTGTTTTGATAGAGTTTATATATAAATATCAATTTCGTATTCGAATATATCTACAAATGTATATTGCTTTTTTATTCCATGAGTCTCAGTTTTTGAATCAAACTGCCCCGGGTCCGGGGCAGGTTAAGCCAATTTGCTCGTATTTTTACTAAGCAAATTATATGTAATAAAACTGATGATAATATTATAAATTTAAGGTAGTAATCAACCAACATGTTAACGTATAATACTGTGCAGGTACTCTTTGCTTATCTAAATTAGGGACAATTTTGCGCGAAATTAAAAAACAAAACAAAAAAAAAACAACGCACCAAAATGTTATCGTCGTATATAGTTAGTGGTACAAATCTGAGACAATGCGTATAACACTTTAGACTCTAAAGATCACAGGTTATACATATACTTAATTACAATGTTATCTATTTCGCTGAAAAGTTGTGTACTTCAGGAGGTAATTTAAGCATATTTTTTTTTTTTTTTTTACTCGTGTACATGAAAAATGATAGCAGGCTCACTCACTCGTGTGGTCACACGTCTTCGTTAGTATTGTTTTGGTATCTAGCTGGTGTAGGCGGGTCTAAGTTTTGCAGTTATCAGCGACCTCGTTTTCGTAATATAACGTATCAATAAAACCCACGTACATTTTGTTGGAGAAAGTTATTTTATTTAAGATAATATCAGTACATTAATATAAAACATTTAAAGAGCTTTATTAATGAGTAAGTAGGAAAATGATATAACAGCTTGATCACGCCTTGCTAACACATAGTAGGCAGTTGTAATTTCAATGTTCCATTGATAACTCGGGGATAGTAGACCTCAAATGCCGCTGAGAAAGCCGTAAGTTACGACTAGCAATTACTTATTTTCATTATCTAAATATATATCAGAAGGTATTATATTTTCTCTGTCATTGGAAATAACAGCTTTTTCGAGTACAAACTGGAAGAATATATAAAAATGCTACAGTAATTTGCATAATACGTTATTTATTATGCATACACACTTCTAAATATAAAAAAGCCATTTATTTTAAGTTAAAACACAAATCATATGATTGAGCGAATGATATGGTATGCATAATTTACTTTGAAAGTTATTTCTAATATTTTTCATTTCTATATCAATTTATATTTTTACATCACCATATTCCACGTTGAAGAAAGTTTCATAAAAGCAGACGATGATCTCAAACCCTTTTATAGTGTGCATAGGGATAACGTCCGGTTTATACTATGATATTGTCGTTTATAACATATAGTTCCTTCAATTCGGAGAGTTTAATTAACCACAGTTTAGTTGACATTTTTATTCGTATAATCCAATGTTTCATTAATCGGTTTTTTAATGAAATTTATATATAAGAAACGTACCAATTCTTGTTTTTAAGGTAAACAATTCAAGTAATCAATGGGTGGGGCTGAGCTATAATATTATTGCGCAAGAAGGAGGGGCAGCTGTGAAACCAAACAAGTTTCTTGGGTGACCTGGACCATCTCTTGATAGATACAAAGTTCGGTTTTCGATTAGGTAAGATTATTTATTATTATTTTTCACCCATATATAGTTTTGGTTATTTACGAAATTTTGATAGTTTTCATACCATGAGTCTAGTAGTAGTAATTAGGTTACGTTCTCCCTGTTTTTATAACTTGCAGTGTTAGAGGTAGAATTACTGTGTTCATGACGCTAAGCCTAAACTGTGACTGAAAATATTAAGAATCGGTAAGCGTAGCCAACTGCTGATTAAATTTCGCCGTATTCTAACAGAATAATTATAATTTAGAGGTTTTAGTTGTATTTCAAAATGATATACGACATTATTTATTTAGATCATTAAATAGGATACGCTTCATTTTTTATCTGAAATGAATAATAGTAATATTAATCCAGTACACTAATTTTATTTTTGACAAGTTTAGTTTAGCCCTACAATTTACAATACAAAATACAATTTAATGTATGCACGGAAAAAAGTGCACCAGCATTTCCCAACATAATGAGTTACTCCTGATATTCAAAAGCATGCGAGATCAACATAAAGTTTGTGTCAGAAAAGAAACCCAATACCCAAAGTGGTTTTGAAAAAGTAGACTTTCCTTCATCAGAGGTTTGTTTAACTTTGATGAAGAACAGTCTTAATCAAGACAACACTATGACAAATACCATCGTCCATTCTCCAGAGATTCTTCCTGTTATTCTTAAAGATGCACTTAATATACGAGTGGGGTACAAGGCAAGCATCCTCACCAAGGTAAAGCACAAAAGCTTATATTAGGCTTTTATATTGATTGAGCATCTTTTGTGAAATCTTAACATTATAGGCAGCTTTCCAAGTTAAACCTGAAGCAAAAACTTTATCATGTTCTTCTCATATCATATTCAATTTTCCCAGAAAGTCAAAAACAAATGATACTTGTTTAGTACTAGCAAAATACAGTAAAAGACCCAAAAAACCGTTTTTAAACAACAGTATTCTTTATTTTTTGAGGGATGTGTGATTGAACTTTTTTTGCTCTAATTGAAGAAGTATCTAAAATATATTGAAGTTTAAACTATTGTAAATTTAAAGTAGTAAACTTTACTGTCCCTTCTGCTACTAGAACATTAATAATCTATAGTGAAACTACACATTGTTTGAAAAGTGTGTTAGTTCTGGTTTTGAATCACAATTTGATTCAAGAAATATTTTATTAATTAAACTAATACAGTGTAAAAACTACTAAATGGAATTATCAAAATTTACAGTGGTCAGTGCAAAATATTGAAGTACACATTAGAACTTAGAAGTGGAAAGTTGAATTGTAAGATTACCTACCTATACTTTTTTCTTGACCTTTCTTTAAGCAATAGACATGTATATGAAAAAATTAGATACATCAGATACCTATCTTTTATGGTCAAGTGTTACAGCAATCCACTAAGTTCAGTCATAACTGACCCCTCAACTTAGGCAAAATAAGGTGTTTGGGTCATTAAATATTCTAATTATATATATCAGGAGTTTTATTTTTCTATGAAATCTTAATCTTTGAAGATATTCACAGAAAAAGTTAAGAAATTAAAAGGAAAAGTAAATATATTTTCTTCTTATGCCACAACTTTTTCAGTGGCATTGCCATATGCTGTCATTAATTTCAAGGACAGCTGTAGTATAACATATGGACAAAAAGAAACCATTTGAGCCTTCAAGACTCCTGGAATATCCGCTCTTGAGAAAAGTAAAAATTTTAAATAATTGTTTCTCTCTTAAACTCCTGTAAAATTTTAGCCTTCAAAAGCAACTCATTCCATAAGTCAGTCACCTGTTAGAAAAATAAGTCTTAAGTGAAAACAAGTTGTTGTTTTTTTCCTCAAATATTAAGTTTTTGAATGTGTTTCCTGTTATCCCATTGTTTTAAAAAACAGCACAAAGAAAGTAGAGGCCATTATCCTATTGATCCATTAAAAAATATTGTGGATTAAAATCACCTGTTATCCTTCTTCTCTTAAGAGGTAATGGGTTAAGAGATATTAATCTGTCCCTAAAAGATAACCATTCCACCCCCAAAATCATCTTAGTTGTCCTGCTCTGAACCATTTTCAATAACTTAATATCCTTAGATAAAAAGACAAAAGCTGACCACAGTGTTCCAAGTGAGGGCTAAATGGTGATTTGTATAGAAATAATTACCTATTTTGACTTGTAACTAGTATGACTATTGATGCACCCTAAAATTCTGTTAGCTTTATTACTAACAATATAGCACTACCTTGATGGCTTGAGTGATTTATCCACCACTTACCCAAGATCATTTTTCTTTAATCATTCTATTGAGTGGATTCCCATCTATACTAAACATGTGATCCTGATTATAATTCAGGTGCAATACCTTGCACTTACTGTACTTCTCATTGGCTAGATATTTGCCTACTTTACCAGTTGATTGAAATCATTGTGTTTGTAGTTCATTAAAATCCTCTGTGTAGCTAAAAATACTAAAGAGTTTTTGATATATACCCTTCTCTCCTATATGTATAAAGGCTGAAAAAGTGACGAGTTTTACATTTAACAAAAGTGATTATTCATGTGTCATTATTTCTATTAAAACAGAGGATATAAAGCCACAGCAGACTAAGTCATGACCACAGATATTGCAGTGGGGATTCGATGGGATCCCTTAATGCAGCAGGACATGGAGGATTTTGAGTATGATGGAGGAAATAGCTCTTCACGACTTTTTGAAAGATCACGAATTAAAGCACTTGCTGGTATGTTTATGTAAACTTTTTAACTAGTTTGAAAAATTTAATTTCTTATGCAGAATAATAGTTTTATTTCTTGAAATTAACAAATACAAAACAACATTATAAGTTTCTCAGTTGTCAGAACTTGTCAGTTTGTAGAACCCACTTTGATTAAAAGTGCCAACCATAACTCGTTTTTCGACCTGGCTCTTTGGCAAGGATTTTTTGCATCTTCCACAATCGGCCTGAATAAGGCAGCCTTATCGACTACCATTTGATACATGCGACAAAAAACAAATTCTTTGAGTTCCTAGCACTTTCCGGATTCCTCAAGTCGCTTTGGGTCCTTTGTCCAAACGACCATTCCAGTTACCTAACTGGTTTACTAAGGTTACATTACCTGCTATTTCTTAACACCTGTTTGTGACCTTAGTCTCATATGCCATGTTTCACCTTTACCTGAAGGTTTAATTTTCATTGCGGCTGACCTACAGACATCGCCAGTTGGAGTGGTTTGTGCTGATTGTCCACAGGACACTTTATCATTCTACCTATGTCCTCAGACTGGGTCTTCTTACCTAAGAAGACTGGATGAGTTTTGTTTTGTCACGTTGAGTAAGACATACAATATCCCGTCATTCCGAGCCTGTGGTGTTGTCTTTCAGACTTTTTTTAGGTTGAGGAGAAGGTTTGCCCACTTTGGTGTTGCTTACCTTCTCGTCTTGATTCCAGTGGCTCAGAATGCATCACACTATGGGTACAGGTTGGGATCCACTTATAAGTATATATATATTGCAGTCCAATTGTCCTAGCCACCAACATGGGATATAGGGACCATGGCCCTATAATTCCAACCCTGAGCAGTGGAACCTTGATTATCTGGTTGGGGCCTGGCTAGTAGTGATGATAAATCATGTAAAATTCCACCCACACTACATGAATTAAGTTCCAGGTAAAGAGCATATCTGTTCTGGATGTAGTTTGGTTCCCTTACTAGGGTACCAATCTTCTATTGACACACCCATGATTTTTGCAGATGCTTTTTGTATGGATGATACCCTCACTGGCCCCTCTACCTTCTCAATGTGGGATTCTAGCTGTGAGTTGAGGTAAGCATGTTTTGGAAGTTAACATGTTCTTAAATCAAAAATGTATTGCCTCCTCTCACGCTCCTGCCCTTCCTCCCCATTTAGAGCCAGTGTTAGAACTGCGGATTGGTTCAGTCTATAAAAGTGATAACATTATCTGAATGAGGTGCTTATATACAGTACCAGGATAGAGGGCAGATTGACGAAGGTGGAGAATGAGACAAATATCAGCAAGGGCAATTAAGTAGGGTATAAAAGACTGGAGCAAGCAAGAAAAATCAGACGAATGCCTAGATGGGCAAAGGAAGAAACCTTTGCTGTCGAGTAATAGCTGTAGTGTAAGTGGAGGTAAGTATTGTTGAAAATACATTTTAATTTAAGAAAATGTTTAGTTTTGCTTATCCTGCCAAAAGCCTGCTATCAACAAGACAGTACTGCTTACCATAAGGTTTCTAGAAATATGTACTTTTTTGATATGTTTGTTTTTAAATTCTGACTCAGTATGCATTAATTTCATATAGATGCAATCTGCTTTTCATACTCATATGCAGAGAACAGATCATAGTATATCATGTTGATCAAGTGATACATTGTCTTATAAAAGTGAATCGTTATTTTGGACATGACCTGAGAAGAACTGTGGTGTCTGTATGCTGAAGGTGAAACCTGATGTCATAGTGATGAATACATGTTCAAATAATACTGATTTATCAGAGACAACCAATGTCTGCTTGGGATGTCATGCACTATGAAAGAGACTGGCCATGAAACTCTTTTAACTTCTTGATGTTTGAAATTCACCCAAGCATCCCTGCACATGACATTGAAAAATTTCTTCATAGTGTAGTTTTATAAAGATTGTTCATAATATAAGTTAAATATACATTTAATACATGGCAAAATGTATGTCATAACTTGTGTATGATTAATGACTGTACTTTAAAACATGACTGACTGACTTCACATGTATGGTGAACATACTTGTGTTGAAATTTTGGTACTCTAAAGTATAATGAAGTGCTAAACTTTTTATTTAATTTTTGCCATTGCAGTATTTGTCAATACTAGTATTACTTAAAAGGAAAGTATTAATTTAAAAAATAACAATATTTTAAAATTTTATATAAACTGTATTTTTGTCAGAATTTTTATACTCAAATGAGGCATATGTCTTGTAGGTGAAAGAGAAAGTGTTCAGAAAAAAACCTTCTGCAAGTGGGTTAACTCACATTTAATACGAGCCAACTGCAAGATTATTGACTTATATACGGACATGAGGGATGGAAAGTTGTTGATGAAACTATTGGAAATTCTTTCAGGAGAACGTCTAGTGAGTTCAAAAGTTGTCTTAAGCTAAAGGTTATGAATATATATTCTGTTACCTTTTATAAAAATTTTGTAAGTGTTAAATATTTCAAAAGTTAATTTTATTTAATTTCTTATTTTGTTGTTGTGCCCAAATACCAGACATCTTGGGTTTTATAAGATTTAGTTTACCAGTCTTCAAGGAAAGTTTGCATCTCTTTAAGGGGATGCAAATGTCTTGCACAACACAGTATATGTATCAAACAACCACAATACTATCAGGGTAAGATAACAAATTAAACACTTATCAATACAAATTGTACAAATTTCAAAAATTACCTAATAAATAAATTTGTATTTATTCATGACTTTATAATTTAATATCTCAGTCTTAAACTTTAATATTCAAAGAAGCAATATTGTTAATTTCATATAACTCAAAATAAAAATAACAACATTAGTAACAAATAAGGAAAAAATGAACCAGAGAAGAAAAAACTTAATTCTTAAGGTTATTCAAAAGAATAATGTTAAACACTTCTCCAGAATATTGCAAATAATGATCAAGCACGTATCTGCAGTAATCTTTCTTTTAATAATTAAAAATTTATCTTGTTTATTTTTAGTCTAACTTCTTGCTTGAAAGTTGATGTTAATGGACTGCATCTGTTTAAGAAGATATGGACATTTCAAACTGTTAGTGAAGATCTTCATGAAATGGAGATATAATTTGAAACATTGTCCAAAAGTTCATAGCCTGATACAGTCATTTAAAGACACCTTTCAAGTAGTTTAACTATACTCAACAAACTCACTTAACTTCATATAATAGGTTTTTTATTTCCTTCCCAGGTTACGAGATTGTGTATCACATGACTAACAAGTTAACATTTGTTTTACTTAATCGTAAATTAAATTAGTATTGATACATCACCGCTAAGGGAACCTCATGTTAGTTTCTTAATATAAAAATAACTCTACAGAAATGTTATTTATCTCTACTGTACTAAGAGCTATTGCCTCACATGCAACTGCTATGGAATTTCCTACGCATGCCTCAAGCCTTGAACAAGCTCCTGATCCTACACGCTTACATATATTACGCCAGACTATGATGTAATAGTTGTAATGCTGCAGTCATCCATAACTAGGATGGTGACACAAACTCCATGTGTGCAGTAATTCCTGTGAGCACAAGCACTTGATCATAAGCTAATTTTTTCTTTCGCACTGATCATGTTTAGAAGTGTAGTGCCAAAGTGAATTTATAGTTTTCAGTCACTTTGATTGACTGCTTTTATTATTTATTTTTGTTACCTCTGTTTGTGTGGCAATTTAGTTCCATCCACCTGATTTCAGTTTTGTCTTTTCTGTAGTCATCATTTTTCTTCTTTCTACTGCATATATAAAAAAAAATGGTTGTGGAATTGTCAGTTTACTACAAATTCTCAAATCCTTGTTGCTTTCACATTTTGAGGCTCAGATGTACCTCTTTAGGAATCTTCTACACCTTTGTCAATGAGGACTGGAGGCACATTATCAGTTCATGATTTTACAGCTTTTAGCATCAGGTTGTTCTGCCTACTTCTTCTGTTATAGTCTCTCATCATTCTGTTTCATTGCTTTCTGCGGAGCCTGATTCACCTGTGAATGATTTTGACCAGCTTTTTCCACCTCATACCTTTGCTTCTGGTTTTTTTCTACCTGTTGAGGACCAGGTACCTCCTCCATCTTTATTTGCTATGCTCATTACTCAGTTATGTGACATTATATTACTTTTACCAGTAAATCCTGATGACTCTTAGGTTATGTACTTCATGATCCTACATCTCCTGATTTTCTCTCCCTCTCTATACATGGACATTTCTGCCCATGCTAATGCCTTTATATATCAACTTCTCGTTGATCAGTATTTTCCTTGTCCTTCTTGTCTTCATGACTCCTTTTCTACAGTCTATGGTCGTGACCATTCTGTATTTCTTGAACCCAGTCTCTTGAGTCCCTTCTATCTACTTGGGGTGCTCCTAGTTTTCCTCCTTTGTCTCTTTATTTTCAGCAATATATTTTTGTCTTACCTTTTCTGAACTCCTTTACCACATCTCTACCTGTCACCTCCTCACCGAAACTCTCCCTTGTGACCCTAATAGTTTTTAGGGGACACCCATTCATATTTCTTTGCCACCTTGGATTATGTTTCTTAATCTACTGTTTATATTTTGATCTGGTTTCTTTCCTTTTAGGTTCTTAGCAGGGATGCTTTCCTTTCAGGTGTCTGCCTCCATTCCTCCTATCTTCGTGATCTTTATCTTGCTTCTTTTCTTACAGGCAATCTTTGGCCAGTTGCTGATTCTTAGAATCCTGGGCTGAGACTTTGTCAATAATCTATCATTGTTTCCTTGCTTTCCCAACTCAGTAGACCTTGGGTTTCTCAGTCTGCTACCCATTCCTGGGAGTTGCATCAAGCTACCCCCCTCTCCTGTTCCTTGTCCAGTTGCTTCTGTTCACAATTCCTTCCCACAGAGCAGTCTGTCACAGCTCTTGGCAGTGACTCTACTTTGGAGATGATTCTGGGATCTGGGTCCATTATTTTCCACCTCTCCCACTTTGCCCACCTATAGTTGTCCTTCAGCAACAACCCTTTGGTTGTGCAAATTTTCTCATGGTCTACCCCTCTACTTTCATACCTTACTTCTCTTTATTGTTTCCTTTATCTTCTCTTCTATCCTTTTCCCTCTGATCCTCTGCATTTTCAACATCTCTAGGATGCAGCAGCCTCTTTCTTTGGTGGTAGAATCAATAGAACTTGTCTTCTGCTCCACTTAGAGGTTTTATTCCTGACTCTTTGCCATCCTAAGAAGATAAAACTATGACACTGTTTCACCTCTGAATCACTTTCTTGTCATTCCTTGATTATGGAGAGATAGTTTTTTCACTCTGCATTGGGCCCTCTTTGAGGCTGAGGATGACCAAGGTCAACATGTTGGATGTCTTCCTTCACACTCCCACTTGTCCTATGTTCCATCATTTCCTCCAGTTTGACCTATGGACAACTATTTCAGTTTTGTGCCTTTCCTTTCTTCCTAATCATGGACCCTTACATTTCAACCAGATCATGCAATCCTTTGCTTGGAGTATGCATCTTCTGAGCCTTCATTTCCATTATTATAGGAACAACTGGTTTCTCCTGACCTCATCTCGATAAGAGTTGTTATTGCTACCTTCATTCTTCATCAGGGAACATCTTGTTTGGGCTGGCTGATCAAACTTGCAAAGTCCATTTTGACTCCCACTCAATATCTAGTCCACCTGAGAGTTTTCCTTGATCCTGTGTGGGACAGGCTCAACCCTCTCCATTGTGTCTTTGCACCGTGGAGGTCATGGTATTAAAGCTTCTTCTCTCTCCACTTCTCTTCCTGTGCAAAAGGTTCTCTTACATTTGGGGACTTTTGCTCCTCTTGAAACCCTTGTCCTTCTTGGTTGTATGCACATGCATCCTCTTCAGTGGCTTCTGGAAGATTAATGGAACATTGTCCTGCATTTCCTTAGTGTTCCTTGTGTGTGTCTCCCTTTCTCTCTACATCCCTCTCTGTTGTGGTGGCTTGATTGCTCCAACTCAACCTTGGGTATTTCACTCTCCTTTTCAACCTGACTTACATCTCTATACTGATGACTTCCTTTCCAGTTGCGGTGCTTCTAAACACTTCTTCTCTGCATATTCACATTCTGGAGATAATAACAACTTATCTGACTTGCCAACCTCTTCAGTCATTGTTGTTGGTCATCTTGTGATGATTCACTTGGACAACTCTACAGTGCCCTTTAGTGGCACAGTGGTAAGTCTGCCCATAGTGGACACAGCACATATAGCTCATTGTGTAGCTTTGTGCTTAGATGCAAACAAACAAAACACTCTACAGTTGTTTCTTACACCAACTGCCAGTGAGGCACCTGCTCTTGGGAGACCTATGCTTTCTCACCCTGAAATTCCTTTACTGGGATAACGATCATTATATTCATCTAGTGGCATGTCATTTCCATGGAGTTTTGAACCTGGTGGTGGATTGATTTCCTTGACTTGACTAAACTGATCCCACAGAGTTGTCTTTGTATCCTTTTATCTTACAATGGATTTGTTCTCATTTTGGGAACTCTTTGATTGATGCCTTTGTGAATACCATTAATTCCAAGCTTTACTGATTTCTCATACAACACCTGACTCCTTCCAATTTTCATGTGAAATCAATTACTATCCCCAAATTGACCTGAAAGTCAACTTTAAACTAAAAATTTTTTTGCTACAAAGATCGTTTGCTGACTGCCCATTGTTCACATCTCATCTACTTATACATGTGTGGAGACTGTAAGGCCTCTTATATTGGTGAAACCAAACATCACCTTAAAGTACAAGCATTTGAACACATGGCATATCTAGAAAAACTGGAAGAAAGGCTACAAACCCTCCCAACTCTGTTATCTATCAACACAATACAGAAACAGGACATTTGATTTCTCTCTCAAACTTTAAAATTCTTTCAACAGCCAAACATGATACTGAACTTCTTATAAACGAAACATAATACATAAAAACTCTTCTCCCATCCCTAAATAACACACAGTCTTCAATGGATTTAAACCTATTTCACTTGTGCCTTGGTTTTAATTTTTTCATGTTATATTTGTATATTTGAATTGTTTATTTCTTGTTTATATATTTCTGCTGTTATTACAAATACTGTTTGTTTTGTAACCCCAGATTACTGATAATGGAATTATGACAATTCCAAAACATCTAATAAATGCTTCATGTTATTATGTTTGTGTTTTATTTTATTGTTAAGATTAGTTTTCCTGAAAAATGAGTCGATTACTTATTGATCTTGCTGTTATAATCTTTCTATACTTCTTAAGTTTTGTGATTACATCATTTTTATACTTTGTTGATTTCTTTGTATATGTCTTTAAGTTTGTTGTTGTAATCTCTTTGTACCTCTCCATTACTTCCTTGGCCTTATCGTCAGTCAGATTGATTTTTGTTCTTAATTACTATTTAAGTATCTTGTCTATTTCTTTTACTCTTCTGTTAAATTCTTGTATTTTACCTCTTGATCGTCTTTTAATTGTCTGTAAATTTCTTCTTGATCTTTACTTATTTTTCTATCTTTATTCTAATTTTTGGTCTCTTTATTCTTTCTCCTCTTTTAATTGTCTCATCAGTTCTGGTAAAGCTTAGAACTCTTTGTGATAAATTATCAGGTTGAAATTTAGTCAAAGTTTTATTTTATTTTGCCAAAATAATCCCACATCTGATACTAATGTTATAGCATTTTTTTATGGGGCAGGTTCTTTTAAATTATTTGGCAAAAATATTGAAGTCCAGTCTATATTAACTTTTACATAAGTTGTAGTCCTAAGTGTTACAAACAAGTTGTTCAGTAAAAATTGTAATAATATAGTCTGAAGTTTTTCTAACTTACTGAGATCAATAAACAGAGATACTAACCCACTGAGTAACATATTAGCTAAATACATGCGATAACTCACTTCTAACACTAACAAAGAAACATGTAAATCAAAACTTGAAAATATAGCTTACACAGTATCTTGTGTATTTCTTGTCTAACCCCTCTTGACAATCTCACTTGACCCACACGGGTTGGTCAAAGTGTAAATGTCATGATATTTTTACAAAATTACATTAAAACTTTAATTAAAGAACTTTATTATCAGTGTAAGCCAATAAATTTGGCATCAAAGCATAGTTTATAATTTGAATAAATCCCATTAATTTCAAAAGGAAACACTTAAGGAAATTTTTTTAATCTTCACTTCTCTGTATCATGTGACACTTCTTCACTTTGATTGTCCCATTTTAGTTTTTCTTTCTTCCCCAATATGATTTTCTGAGTTTGTCACAAATAACAGTTTTATAGTATTGATATTGCTAAGCCATAATGTAAGCTTAGCCTCCGATGTTCTTGCTTTACTGAGATATAAACTAGAAAGTCAAACCCACATGCCATGCTCCTCTTATCACATCCTGTGTTTCAAAAAATGTCTATAATTCTCTCTGACATTGCCTTTGATCATTGAGCTATCCTAAATTTGATCAAATCAAAGAAAGTTTTAAAAATGTGGTTACAAAATATATTGTTGCACTCAGTTGCATAATTAATTGTAAAAATTAATGTGATTGTTTTAAAAAAATAATGTTTAAATAGTTGTGTTAATAGAATTGTGTTAATATTTGATCATTGCAAATGATCTAGGTAACTAAAGAAGGTAATAAAGGGTTTGAAAATTATCATCATATACATTTCAGTGCAACGTGACCAAGTTCTATTAAATGAACAACAGATATCTTAAGTAGATAAACAAATTAATGCACTGAAATATGTTTCACTGTGTCAGATATTCCATTACTTGCCTGGTTCATTTAGCTCGGTTGGTTAAGAACTATGTATTATGGAAGTATATTTAAAAAAAAAAGTAGCTCCAGAACAACATGTTTTGAATAGATAAAATGTTGATACACATTTAATTTTAGAGGGATTTTTTGTTGTTGTTGTTGGTTTTTTCCCTAATTTCTATTTGTTGTTATTTTAGCCTAGACCAACTAAAGGTAAAATGCGGATTCATTGTCTTGAAAATGTAGACAAGGCCCTCCAATTTCTAAGGGACCAAAGAGTGCATCTTGAAAATCTTGGATCTCATGATGTTGTAGACGGAAATGCTCGTCTGACCCTTGGTCTCATCTGGACTATTATTCTTCGTTTTCAAGTGAAGCTTCTTTCTAATTACTTAATTTACCAGTGTCTTCATGCACTTCTAAGCTTTGATGTTGCAGAATTTACACTTAAGAAAAAACACCTTAGGCAGCTTAAGTAAAAGATAAAGATTAGTGAGACAGTTATCATAGTTTAGTATTGCATGTATAATTATAGTTATTTTTTAATATCTAAAGTATTTGTTTATAGTTTCTTGTATTACTGACTTCTTTATCTACATGTGAACTTTAATGAAAAATAATTTAAAATTAATTGGAGATAAGAGCAAAAATATTTATTAAAATTGTATTTCCAAGTTTGGTTGCTATTAGCAAAAATTTATGAAACATTGTATTTATATAATTTTTCTATGTATCTAATTTTATGTAAAAAATGTAAACCTTTAAAAATGACCATGTGTTTAATAATGACCTTAGATTTTATCTGGTTCATTGATTATTTTTCAGTTAAGTGCAATGACAATGTTGTTACCATTAAAGTTGACTCTCTGTCTTCCAAGGTATGAGTGTGGAAAATCTTAGATAGTTTTTCTGTACTTCTGTATATAACTATCACCTCTTTTGTGGAATATTTTTTTGTATGAAGGAGACCTAAACTCGTGAATTAATTTGTATTTATAGATTCAAGATATCACTATTGAACAAGTTGATAGTCAAGAAACCAAATCAGCCAAAGATGCCTTACTGTTATGGTGTCAAATGAAAACAGCTGGCTATCCAAATGTCAATATACGCAATTTTACTACCAGCTGGAGAGATGGACTTGCCTTCAATGCTCTCATCCATAAGCACAGGTAAATAAACTAATTTTTCATATGCTGTTACAAACAGCAATTTATATAAATACTAAATTTTAGTATTGTTTGTATAAAAATGTCTGTAAAAGAAAGGTTTCAAAACTGGCCGACATACCTCTGTGATACAAAAAGCCTTTCCTTGTTGAGTTGCTCTCATGCTGTCAACAAATGTGATTAACTCTTTCAACCCGAGCTTGGTCCCTGGGACTGACCTCATAACCATTTTGTGCTTGTTATAGTTTCATGCTATAACTTTTAAATTAGTAATCGAAATTTGGCAGTTTGTCAGTAAACATTACAATGTTTTCATATGCAAAATATCTATTTTTTTT